ATTTGTTTTTAAATAAATGCATTGCTAAAATTTGTAGTTACTTAGACAAATTTAAGACTACTTTTCCCGCTGCAGATATGCAGATACACATGATGGAAGGCAGATAGAATAGTGACTCAAGTAGCACAGCCATGTATGCCACAATTTCTGCATTTTCAAGTTGCCCACTGTTCACTAAATCTTTTTCAATCCCCGGTTCGAAACCACCGGGGCTCGCCGGGCATGCTGGCGCACGCCTGTAACCCCAGCACTCGGGAGGCTGAGGCAGGAGAATCGCTGTGAGTTCGAGACCAGCCGGGGCTACAAAGTGAGCTCAAGGCCAGTTTGAACTGCATAGCGAGACCCTGTTTCAAAAAGACAAAAAACAAACTACCGGGGCTCTTTAGATGTGCGATCTTTTTCTCTCTGCTTTTCTCTCTCAGCACTGGGGATTGAACTCAGGGCCTACGTGCATGCTAGGCAAGCACACTGCCCCTGAGCAACATCCCCGTCCGAACATTTCTGCATTCCCATCAGTGATATTTTCAGGTGGATATTTTTCATCATTTGATGTGGCTAATATCACTTCAACACCAAGAGTTCGAACAGTGATCAGGTTTTCTCATCTTTGAGTTTAACCTGGGCTTTAGGGTAACTCTAAGTCCTGGCCCATCCAGCTCGAGGCCTTACGCCGACATTTTGGTTTCCATTTGCAAAGTCCTAATAGTTGACATAGTAACAAGAGACATACTAACTGCGTTGGGTTGAGGTGACAGGTCTTGGTATAGTTCTCTACATTTTAGTTGCGGGATGATATGCAGACCTCAGAGATACAACCCTAAAACCCCACCCCAAGCCTAGTACTGTGGACAGAACCCAAGGCCTTCACACTGAGCTACCCAAGTTTTTATTTTTTTATTTTTATTTTTATTTTTTTTAAGTCGAGGTCTCACTAGGTTGCCCAGGGGCTGGGCCCAAATTTGTGATCCTCCTGCCTCAGCCTCCTAGAATGCTGGTCAAATTTTTATGTTTTCATGGATATACTTGTTCTTGTCAGACCTTGAATATGATACGGGAGAAACGATATAATAGCAGTTAAAAGACATCACCCCCTCTATTAGCCAAAAGATAATATTTATAAGTGAGGCATCATGTCAAATTTCACACAGGTCATTGAATTTCATTTTTGAGCTGCTTATTAGGTATGCTGGCCATATGGGGAAAATAACTCAACCTGTCACATGTCCGATCTGCTGCAGAGTTTGTGACTTCATAACATCAAGGGAGGAAGTTGTGAACCAAAGGAAGCAGATAGAGTTTTACTAAAAACAAGGAGAACAAGAATGGCTCTTGGATTTCCGGGAAGGGTCTCAAGTGGGTGGCCACTGAGGCTCTTTGACGGGGCAATTTATACAGCAAAGTCACAGCATGGGTTTGTTCTTTCCATATACCCTGGTTATGTAACTCATATTCCTATCTGATCATTACAAGCTAAGTGACTATCCTTGTAATCCTATAGATTGATTATTGCTTGACTCACATTGTGCCCATGTCTTTTTTTTTTTTTTTTTTTTTTTTCCTTTGCAATACTAAGGATCAAACCCAGAGTGTGCTTGCGTGGTAGGCAAGCACGCTACCACCTAGCTACATTCTGAGCCCCCAAAAACATGG